CATCTCCAAACCTCCAAATATCAAACACCATATGCAGTAAAGGATAAGTACTGCAAGCTATAGCAATATTGAAAGGATTTCAAAGCTGCGTGTAAAAATGACTTACCTTAAAGTCTTTACCGAGAGATTCACTCTGTGTCGTCTTGTGCTTTCTCACTCTGAGTCACTTTTGTAAGACAACTTGAGACGGGGGGCACAGTGGATGCCTTCAAACTGTGACTCCTCCTTCAGACAAAATCTACTCATTTTTCTCTCTCGTTCATGAAAATCGTTTACCTGTAGCATACTGGATAAAAAAGATGTTAGCACCACAAGGCAAACTTGCATACAAGCTAGAAATCGAGAAGAGACGCATGTCCCAAACTCTTTTTCAGGGTAAAGATCAGAACAATTGAGGCTCAAAAGAGATCCAGGAATTCTTTTTTTAAGCTTTACTTCTTTAAGTAATTTATCTGGAAAACCTTCAAAGTTCTTTCAAGCAATCAAAATCGAAATTGAAACAAATCGCGACTTGGTCTCTTGAAGTTTCCAGCGCTAAGCACAGTTTGCTAGTACAACTATGGATCCTCACTGGCTCCTTGTGGTATTTTCCTTTCCTCTGATTGGCTTTTCTAATCAATTTGCTTTGGTACTCGTGGATTGCATCAGCAAATTCGAGCTCTCCTTGTCAGTGAAACTAAAAATGTTTTTCATGCAGTAATTAAATTAAATTTTAATTTAATTTTTCATTACTCGTCTCAAACAATTTTATGAAGAGGAACACATTTTAATATTCACAATTTTCTAACTTGTCAGAAAACTGTTTACACCAAATCAACTGACATAAGATGAAAGGGCATTGAAAACAAAATAACCCTTTTCATTACACAAAATGAGAGTAAACAGAGTTTCGCATCCTTTTGTCAAAGAGGAAAACCACTGATGTCTTCATGTTTGAGTTGTAAATTGACTCCTAACCCTAACTCGCACGTAAGTCAATTTATTTCGACCAAGATTAACAGCTGGCCGTGGTCTACGTTTTTATTCTCTGGTAATTAGGCCATCTTTAGCGTGAATCATTTCTGCAAAAAATTGGAAAGAAAATGCTCTGGCAGAGAGTCTAGAGATTTAATAATTTGGTGTTCAGTAACGCACCCTTTAGCCATTTAAATTACGTGCCAGTCTTAATGGCTTTGGGTGGGTTTCAATAAAATGTATTGACACTCTTCTACAACCTTTTAAGTCATAATTTTAGAGCAAATGTCATAAATTACCGATGAACAGATGTTTCTTCCCTTTTGTGATAATAAATGCAATGGAAGCCCAAGAAAACAAAATTGATTGACATAACAGGCGGTTCTTGTGTTCTTTATTAGTTCGTAAACGCTATCGAAAAGATGGCTATCCTGATATACACAGGGGAAGTAAGTTTTAAGTATTAACAGCCGGACGAGTGCTGTTAGGTTAAGATATTTCTCGTTGCTATAGTAGATGATCTGTTGGGAAAAGGAAAGGACAGCTTCGGATTAGCGGCAAGAATATGGCGACAACTCAGAATCTATCAGAAGACGGAACACAAACCAAAACCATGGAAAGTTGTCGGTCTACCGCGAGTGCAATACAACCATATGTATATTATTTCTCGATAATACACATTCTGCTTTCCCTAACAGCATTTCTTAGCAATTCTCTCATCCTTGTTGCCCTTCATAAGGAATCTTCCCTTCATCTGCCGTCCAGAGTCCTTTATCGTTGCCTGGCAATAACAGATCTGTTAGTTAGCCTTGTCGTTCATCCTTTAGCTGTCATCAATTTTATGTTCTTTATTCACGAAGACTGGGGCCGTTATCGATGGACATACCACGCAGTTTTCGTATCAGGCTATGCATTATGTTCAGTATCTTTGTCGACAATGACGGCTATAAGTGTCGACAGACTTCTCGCCCTGTTGTTGGGGTTGAGATACAGACAAATTGTAACCGTAAAGCGCATCCATGTCATTTTAGGTACCTTTTGGATTGCAGCCGGTGTCGTTGCTTTATGCAGAAGCTTAATTTACCACATACCATTTTGGTACGGCTTTGTATTTACAGCGTCTTGCTTGATGATCTCATCCGCATCTTACACAATGATTTTTTGAGCTCTTCGTCTTCATCACATTCAAGATCATACAAGATCATGCTCAACAACATCCGAGCCAACCAAATGCACTGAACATCGCACTTTACGGAAAGGCAGTGTATAATGCTCTGTGCGTGAAGGTAGCTCTATTGGTCTGCTATCTGCCTTATTGCATACTGGTAATTTTGAGAACTTTTACTAAAATATCTGCAACACATTTAGTCGTCAGTGAGGCACTAACGGTGGTTTTTGTCAGCTTTAACTCAACCTTGAACCCGTTCATTTACTGCTGGAAGATTAGCGAAGTAAGACAAGCAGTAAAGCTGACAATGAGACAAACACTTTGTCGTTGGTAAGGTGAATTTCTGTTCGGGTTAGATTATGTTGATCCCTATAAAGCTAATTAGCCTGAAATAATTGTAAGTTGAGAGTAGTGACCGTATAGTGGGTGAAAACAACATAGACCTTTATCACTGGAATCGTTGTAACAATTGGAGTTTTCCTTATAATGCGCTCTTAATATGTGAAATCACTAATGTCTTATGTTTGCAATATGAATGAACCGGTTACTTTAACCAATTCGCACTTACATTAATTTCTACAAAGTAAAAATAAACTCATAGCTTTTAATAAAATTAAATTGTTTTTCTGCAATTGCCTAAAATGCAGGTCACCCGCGCACATTATTGCTTTACTTAAAGGTAAACGGCTGGTTATTGTCTACACCACTCCGTGCCAAGTATTAAGTTGACTGCCGAAGAAAACGTCTCTTCTACATTACACTCTGTGGTTAATTAAGCAATTTAAAAGGATAAAAAGTCGCTTAAGTTTTCTGACCAGAAGCCTATAACCTTGAACATGAAATGCTCCCGTTATGATTAATAGCGTTTCAGAGCTTTGGAACTATTTGCGCCTTTCAGCGTATCGAGTCAGAACAAATGTCGATAAAATTGCTTTCTGCTGAAGAAGTGTTTCCTTCCTAAGAGATTAAAAATTCAAGGTATACTTAAAAAAAAATAGACACCCTCTTTGACATAACTGATATAAGTTTGCACATTTTAAAAGACTAAGCGCTACTGAGAATATCGATTTTATTCAAATAATATTGATTGAGGGTTTAAGTAACCTTTACTTGGCATGCACTGTTAACACCAAATATTTCTTGGGGCAATCATCCACAACCTGCATAAAAACGAAATAAGGGCTTTTATAACATAGCGCGCATGCTTGCCCTATATAAGGTTAGGCTGCAGTGCAGGTTTCCTTCTCTTTGAAAAATGGAAGAAACCAGCGAAGAACTGCCCAATTTTTCACTTGGGAAGTTTGGAGAACGCTGCGCTTCGAGCAACTCTCTCATTTTTCGTACTCTCCAAACTCCAGCGTGCATTCATAACTCGATAAATACGCACGCTAAGCATGAACGAATTCTTAAATTACAGGCAGAATGGTGAGGAAAAAAATTTCACAGGAGGTGGAATACATACAAAATTATCTCTCCAACCAATGTTTCCCGTTTCTCGTAGGTGGAGTGCAAAGACACGCATACTGTGTTATCCTCCTGCACTCAAGGTAATTTTGTCCCTCTTTCTCTAATCTTTTTTGCCCTTCACTCACCTTCCAAACTATTTTATCAATGTCTACCAACAACTGATCACATTAGTTGGTTATCACTTTCTGATATGGCCTTATAATCATGACATATCGCTTAAAAATATTTTTGATTTTCCACAGTCTTCGTCTTCAACACGCTTAAATAAAAAATCTTGTTGAGAAAAATGAGGAAGAGTTTTTAAAAATTTGACTCTGCAAATGTCAGTGCAATAATGTCGTTCAAACTGAACATAGGTTTTTCCTCGTGTCGAAATTAACGTTACAAAGGCGATTAAATGTCGCTGAAAACTCATTACCACTTTTGATGATCTGAAGAAAACTTTCCATGGTAAAATGGTTTTGGAGGCGAAATAGTTTAAAATTGCCCTTAACAAAACCGTTAAGTGTTCCCTCTATTTCTGTGATAAGAACGGGCGGGGCCTTATTTCGTTTACTTTTTTTCCTCCTTGAGCTCCATGACTGCTCAGCATGATGTCATCCGCATTCATTCATTCCACAAGTTTTAAGTCAAACCATCCAAGAGACAGCGGGTTGGAAAATTTTTTTCCATACTTCTATCCAGATAAGAGCAGTAAAAATTGACATCTCTGATACTTTTAATTTGTTGACGAAAACAGCACAAGAACATAAACATGAGATAATAGTAGCTTGGAAGCCAACATAAAACAACTTATTGTAAATAACAAACACCAACAAATTTTAACTCTTGCCATGTTGAGCTCAGTGTACGTTCAATACAATAAAATACCACACGAAAGTTCGTCAGAAGAGGATAAACCAATCATACCCTCTTGGTTTGATACAACAATAAAAACCCAGCAGACTTATGTTTGTTCTTTTTTAAAAGACGGCACTCCATAACAAGCGGGATATTGATCAAGTGAACATTTTAACTTAAAAAAAAAATAGAACAGGCAGATAACCTCAAACAAAAGATTGCAGACTCGACGAGGGCTGATACCATGCTCTTGTAAAAATTATACAGAAAGAAAGTTGTAGCAGTTTAGAGTAGCTTTCGGAAGGGAATCTAAGAGAAGAAATCACAACTGCGAGAACTGATATTTAAGAATAATTTTTTTTTTTTTTTGCAGGCACAACTGGTTACTGTTTAGCAATTTTATTTCTATAGCTTAACGCGTGTGTACAGCTCTATAGTTTTAAAAAGGGCTAAATATAAAGCTAGATTTTTAAATCACCGAGGTCAAAATCGAGCTGCAACGGATAAAAAAATCGAATTTATAAATAAGACAGAACATAATTTCATTTAAAACATCCTTGTTGACAATTGTTCATTCCCTTCCTGGCCTTATCTGTTTCACAATCTTTCTCATCATGTCCCTGTGGAAGAAAATTTCCGAGACATCAAAACGAAAGTTGTAGGCGGCTAAGTAGATGGTTGAGGGCACAGATACGATAGTAGGAGAAAGAAATAACGGTTGTTACCTTATCGCATTTAGCTTCTTTTCCACTGACTCCCAAGGATTACGTTCTTCGCTGAATTCCAGAAGCTCTAGAAAAAAAATACGTCATTTGATGAATTGCAATTGCAGCTGCTGGGGAAGCCATGCATCAATAAATTTAACTTAGGAAAAGTTGTGCGCGCGGAAAATCGCGAACTAAATCATATCGGCGATTCTCGGTTCCAATTCATGAACGCAAACAGAATGAAAACATACAATACATTGGTATCTGAGAATAACAATCTAAGCAGTCTCTGTTTCCTCCAAACCTTCCGCCAGTTTCCTCTCACCGATCCACTCTCCCTCTTTGTAATATTTCACACGCAAGTTCTTAAGAGATGGAAAGAAACAATTGTGAGTTCAGCTGTGGAAAGGTAAATACAAATATCTCTATAAAATAAGCGAAGTAGGACACGAATTTTGATTGGTTCTTACTAATGATTTACCAGAGGGCATGGCAGCCGCATATATGACGTCACTATTACCAGCAGTTTCGCTTCTTTGCATACAAATCAAATATATTCCATGTTGCCATGGTTCCTTTCTGTATATTATATCACAAAAGCCGTCAAAGTGTGGTAAAAGTGTCAGTGACACACTCAACCGCGCCTTGTGAACCAATTTTTTTTTTGCTCCAACCACATTTTGACGTCATCTGTAATCTCCAACTGGACAATGAAAGTAGATGTTGAATACATCTACCTATGAGTAAAACAAACTTTAAAATTGTCTAACTAATCTAAACGAACTACTTTTTTCGCTGAAAGATTAAGTGCGAGAGCGATTTAAGCAAAAAGGGTTTGGAGAAAAAACCTCCTTGCGTTAAAATTTTTCCTAAACTTACATTTAGAGATACAGAAACCACTGAAAAGAAATTCCTACGGCCAACCCTAGTCAACAGGCCCATTTCCTAACATACCAGAAAAGGAAATCTTTCCATGCGAGTGAGCTGTAAAATACGATCCACATCGTACTCCAGACGGGCGACTTTCTTGGCCTGAATGTAGGTCGTGCTCAACTGTGCAATAAGTATGTTCAGAAGTATCACAATCATTGTCCCCATGTACGTCATCATCAGCAGAATTGACAGCCAGCTGCACAAAGAAATAAAACGATGAAGGTCTGTACACTTGATGCAGCTGTAGCACGACAACGCATGTACCGCAGTTGATGCGCGCTGACCTATTTTTCTGAAGAAAAAAATTGAAGTTGCAAGAGATACCAAGGAGACAACTAATCATAAACTTACTTGAAGCCTGTGTAATCTTCCGCAATGGGTCGTTGTTCGAACACTGCTCGAAAACTGCTCTGCAACACGTCTCCTAAGCCACTAGATCAGTGTTAAAGTATATAAAAGTAAAGTAAAAAGTTTGGTGATTGACACATTACTCATAACACCCCTATAAGCGTGCCCACCTACATCCCACCTACAAGTTGAGGAGGCTCTATAGGGTTTTTGCTCAATATTGGCGCGCGCGCCAGCGTAATGTTCTAGAAGATTTTTATGTTTTCGCTTTTCAAGGTCACCGTAAGCCATCAAAAAGCAATGCGCAAGGTTCGGACCATTATTAACTGTAGTGAATATTATCAAAATAATTTTCGTTATTAAGCTAAGGTTCCACGAAGAGAGGCGCTCGCCTGTGATAATTTGGCTTTGCATTGGATTTCCCTCAATTTGCTTTGGTGAAACCTCTCAAAATGTTCACAGTTTGTGAAAATTGTCCTGCAGATCATTTAACGGTCAAAAAAAAATAGGAGTTACAAAGGCAGTTTCCTCACTATTTCCAATTTTGTGTTTTCTTCCTCAATCTAAAATTTGGTCCTATGGATTTTTTCTCTCATGGAAGAGAACAAATAGGTGTAACGGTTCAGCAAATCTTAGGAAATTCCACCCAAGGAAACGTGATAAATCTCACTCGAAAGATAATGGAATGGAATAAAACTTCACCAGGATCGGCATCAGAGCATGCGTAGACTTTCGAATCTGGATCTTTTCCACCGTGTTTTCTTTTCGGTTGAACTCTTGTGTCTCTCGAATTTTAAGTGGTAGTGTTTGAGACCGATTATGGCCGAGAAGAGGCCCATTGTTGCGTTACACAGCGTTACTATCGCATACTCAATTATGTTGAAAATCTACTTTCCTAAGGAAAAGGAAACTTTCTAATGGCGAGTGTTGTATGGTAAATCTACTTGATCATTGAATGAAGGACAGATGAATTAGAGCAATGAAAGGAGTCACTTGATCAATGAATAACTCTACAGTGCACACGGCGACACGCCGGATAAGCCGGAAAGCAAAAGGCGGTCGATCGTTAAAATGTGTTGATAGGCTCGTGCGATTCCTGCCATTCCCTTGCCCTTTTTTGTAATATAATGCGTTTGCATGTTAAGGTAGATTCCCCGTTAAAAACTCGCGAATTTGATATTATTCACACAGCCATCGGCTGTGAGTGTAAATGATGCAAATGAATAGATTCTTTGGCAAGGCAGCAGTTTCGTTTCTTTCTGAATCTCTTCAGTTGCCTCCTAACTACGAATTTGACACGGAGGAATAGCCGGAGTCGCGCAGGCCCGCAAACACTTGTCCACTTTCGAAGGAAATGCAACAGACAGTGAATCCCCATTACATTCCACGTTTATTCACGCTATCTCTCTGCCACTAGAGATGTCCACTCGACCGCGACAGGATGCTAATAACTCGCTTTTCGTTTTACGACCATGATGAAACGCAATCAGAGTGCGCACACCGCCTGGAGTTAAACTGTCGTGAGATCGTATCGAGCCGCCATATTTGTTCTGCATATAGACACTTTTAAAGCTCTTGATATGTTCGCACCCAAATCTCGCACTGTCAAAAAACCCCATTGAGCCTCCATAAGAAAATTTATTTTATCATGACTTTATGGGTATATTTAACTTGAGTTACTTAGGCTCACTCGGAATAGCTAGAGCAAAAACTCGCAAACACTGATCGCAATAAGAGCCATAAAGTGGTAGTGATCTCATCGGACGAGGCTCTATTAAGGAAGTGCTGGTATCTACTAAACCCAGACGTACCTAAACTGATAATTCTCTTTGGAGAAACGAAGAGATAAAAACAAGGCACCACAAAAGGGAAGACAGACCACAATAAAAACAGTCATAAATCGTGTCAAGTCTTGCTGAATGACCTTAGCCAAAGTTTTGGTGTATAATCCTGTTGTCCTGAAAAATAAAAATAACAGGTTGGTATTTACATGGTTATTGGCCGTAAACTTCATCAAGAGACCCTGAGACAGTAAATCCTTACTTATAACCGGATCATTCATCGTATTTCAATCGGCCGCTGTATCTTAAAAATGAGAAGGAACCAGCTGGGTCGCGCGTTTAAGACAATCGATCTTTCTACGATTGTGCATTAACGATTTCCCATTGGGTATTTTTAAATTCGTAAACCAACAGGAGACCTACATGTACCTCCTCCACATGCAAAGGTGGTCTTTCTGATTGTATCAGCTATGCTAGTACTCTTTTTTAATTTGCAATTATTAAGCTCCTGGACAACACGTTACTATGCGCGATGTAGATGTTTATCATTACTAAAAATATCACCTTGTAACACAAGAAAACTTGAATATCCTCAAGAAATTGAACAAGACAGCTAAAGATGCAACCGTCCACTGTGCTTTGCTACCAGTGAACCGCAAGGGTATTATACATAGGACCAACAACAGGCCTAACCAGTCAAACAGGGTCATCCACTCTGTGATGTATGAATGCCCTTCTCTGAAATAAATCAGGCAAAAAATTGTGTTTTGACCCCCTTCGCTTCCGGACAGACTTAAATGCTATGGGACGGTTATTTAAACAAAGTTTAACCGTTGTTAACAAAACCGCGTTGTAAACTATCTTGAATTTAGCTTAATCTTTCATCCAAATTCATTTTTGCCAACAGTGTCAAGAGGGCCGAAAGCTAGCAGTTAAAGGATATATATTTAAGGAAACTGACAATTCTCTTATGGAGAATCCTAGAGGCCCACTGCTTGCGAGAAACCGCGGTTTGGGCTAGACCTCGTGTAAATAACCGGCCCTAGGAGTTTCCTGACGATAAGGGGACAAAGCAAAAAAGCCCTGATGTAGGAGGTTTGTAAGACCGTCAGCTATTACAGTACAGCCACTGCTAGGAAAGTTTCATAGTCAGACGGTAAAGGAGGTCGTAAAAAGGTGCGAATTTTCGATAAAGTGAGGCTGATGTCTTAGAAAATAAACACACTGTTGATGCATACTTACATGTAGATCTAGTAGAAGAGGTTACCAACAATAAGTCCTCATTGATCAGCGAAAGCGTAAAACTGTCCAATCACACTACCTTACATTTCGACGACGCAATAATTGGACAATACAACATTTTAATTGAATAAAGGGGGTAGGTTTCTGAAGAAACTGTGGTGCTGCGCCGGTGGCAGAGTATAACAGGATAATTTAGTATCATCAACTGAGTTGATAACGTCAATTGGCCACCGTAAGGAAGTTAAAAGCTGATGTTTCGAGCGTAAGCCCTTCGTCAGAGCGAATGACGAAGGGCTTACGCTCGAAACGTCAGCTTTTCACTCAGTTCTTTATCCTGGCCAATTGACGTTATCAGTTCAGTGTGATAATACCAAATCACAATATTTTAATTGTTTACTGAAATATTTGATAGTCTCGAAAGCTTCCCCCCTTAAGATTTTATGTGACACTCATCTGAATTACTGCTCATCAGTAGTCCTTTGGTTACTCACATTCTCATCTGATTTATTTCTTCGCATATGTAAACGCCAGCCATGAAAAGAGTAGCAACCTCACAAAATACACGCAACGAGTCTATCACACTCCTGTAACTATTTGGGTCCGGTCTGGTTGAGGCATGCAGCAGAGAATACGTCATTAACAGTAAGAAGACGACATACAATACCGCCTGAAGACTGTAGAAAAAGTGTTAATTATACATAGTGATCGTTTCATCCGTGTGTACGTTATAACATATCACACTTTTAATCAAAGAACAGCTTACATTTACAAGTTTTATTGCCAAGCAATCGCTTCTTATTGAGGTTGAAGAAATTGAATTGTGCATTATTTTGTTGATGTAAAGCAACCTATCTCTTTCTCTGTGCAACCGTTTTCTCATTTTATTCGATTAGTTTCAATTGTAGCGTCTGCGTAAAAAATTCACGGGGCATATTGACGATTTAGGAATCTTGCCGGCCCACCCCTGGGAGTGTCGTCTCCTTCGTAGTCGTTTTTCGGTCTAGTCACGCAACGCGCTCTCTTCCTCACCGACGTTGATTGGGGGGGGGGGGGAAAGGGGGGGAAAGCGCGTTTCGTGACTAGACCAAACAACTTACGATTGAGATTACTCAGGGAAGAGGTTTAAGGTATTTTTGAAGCCCAAATTAATTCACTTACTCTTTCTAACTCTTTCTAATTCGTGACATAAAGTTTAAGTGAGTCTAACAGTGGACTGTTACATACAGTACCCTGAGTAAAGATATACAACGGCGTTTACATAATTATACCTGAGAAACCAATGTCCATAATCTTGCCATTTTCGTTTAATCAACATCCTGACCACTGGATGCTGCAAAGCCTCCTGAAAATGAAAGTCAAACTGTATTTTAATCAAAAATCTATGATTTGCATGGATGCAAAATAATCAGAATAGATCCCCGTTTGGTATACTGCTTATATGTGAAACTGAATAAACTTCATAATAAGTGACAAAACCCTTTACTGACACCCTAACATAAATAAGTATATTCTCCATACTGTTTATTGTCAACACATTTGCTAAGGACTTGACAAGGAGGATCCGTTTAACAATCAAAGCTTCTTTAGTTGGTAATCATTTCCTTTATACTCGTCACTTTTATGAAATGTTTGATCTATGGGTTATATCCTTGGGAGGAATTACTAGCTAGTTATTCCTAAGGATCAAAGGGATATATGAATTTCTTTAACTGTGATTAATTTAAGTTGGCAGATTGGTCAAAGTTCAAGTCACGACAATCCCTAGAATTTACCTGTCAGTTAACGAGTGGAGATGAACCACAAAGCAATAAATATGCATGAGAAAATGTAAATGCCAGTTTTAGTCAATAGTGTTTCAAGTGCAAAGATTGAAACATACAGTAAGCAAGATACATCATAACAATTCTGCCAGGAAACAAAAATAAAAACCTATCCTGACATCTTCCACAAAATGTAAAAGAGGTAAGTTGTTAATTCAGGCAAACCGAACTGCCTAATGTTGTCATTGATTGCATACAACTCATGAGTCATAGATCAAGCTCTGGTGAGGTGATTTAATACTTTCCTCCCACAATGCCTTTTTCCACCAAGGAGTACAAGTGATTACCAGAAAACTGTCAGAGAGACTAATGGAGGAAGCATCCCATTTTGGAGGAGTAGCAATTCTCCTTCCTATGGCTGCTTTGAGACCCTTCTAAGATACATTACATAACATTCCATGTTAAGAAGGGCCTTGTCTGCAGGTTTTACTTGATACTTGTCAACTAATAATCATGCAATCAGTGTTTGAAACCATGAAGTAAATTTCTTCATTGCTATATAGTCCCTCCTGCTTTGCTCTGCTTATATACCTCTACATAGAGCACTCTTAGAGGCATAAAAAAACTTACACATTGTAAATTTAAATGCAAAAAATCAATAGATATACCATAATATTGAATGATATTTGGTGATTAATTATTTTCATTCAAAAAGTTCATTCAAAAAATTCATTCATTCATTCATTTATTCAGCTACATTCATTTAGCTACCAGATATTTTTTCTTTCAACGTTAGCCTTACCATATTATTGCTTATTGCAATCATATGCAAACATGATTTATCTCTCCAGTTAAAGAAGTTGTTATCTGTCTGTTTATATTCCCCTGGAGACAAAAGCTTTGGAGGCCGTCCTCCTTCATCACCATCCAAAATATGATAATAGAAGTGGTAGTTTAGAGGATCATCTGTAATTGTCCTCCAGACTCCTTCAATTGCCTCTTTCTCTTCTTCATTGTCATAGCTGTCCTTGCGTTTTGGGAGATGTGACGAATGGGGATGTACCATCTGGTCTAATACAGCCTCTACTGTTTTCTGTGATTAATGTAAACAGTATGTTTAATTGCTTTACAACATATAAAAGTAAAACAGTTTTAAACACTTATCTGCTAAAAGGGCTAGCTGTACAATTAGCTATTATAATGACATACATTTTTTAATCGTCAAATACTATAAATTGTATCCTCACTCACTAGTTAAAAAACATCAATATTTAACATGTGCCCTCTAAAAGGCAGTCCAGTACTTCTCACAATCCTTGACTTTCCTCTGAAAAAAGGATAATTATCCTTGAAATGTCATGCAACTTTTTACAATGTGAAACATCACTTTTGTTTTGTGATGTTAACATAAGTAACAGAATTTTTACAGCCCCTTTCAGATTACAAAAGACAAAATTAACAGCCACCTATAGCTCCCTTTAAGTTAATAGTTCCATTATGTTACTGAAGTAGATCAAATATTTAGCACTGAAAAATTGGAGATCAATTTTTGAAATGTAGCTTTTTTCTTTTCTAACTGACTTATCTTTTTGTCATATCTTGTTAGGTAATATTTGGAACCCTTGCTTAAATTTTACAAATACAAAATTGCACTCACCTTCATTTTGGGATTCTCAATAACAGATTTGAAACTGAACAATGAGGGCAGAGGTTCTGCCATATCATCTGGTATCCAAGAAAATAAACTTTTGACCCTGTAATGAAAGTGGAATATTAAACATGCAAGTATGGAAATAATTGTGTCTCAGCTACAACTCAGTTGTACCATATTATTTTGCTGTCTATTGTTTGCATTTCTTTTATTTCTTTTGTATTTGATCATCCACCAAAACCTGAAGTTACAGAATTGACTCATGCACAGCAATGAAGAGAATAATTGCTTTCTAACTTTTAAGATGCCATAAGATCTACAAGGAAAAGAGCTAGCTTACACAGCCATTAAATGTTGCCCTTGATACTAGAGACTTCAACAATCATAAGTTTAAAAATAAATGAAAGATATACAACCTGTGGATGTTTACACAGGTAACTAACTGGATGAAAAGTAAAGATATCTCGCAAAAAATAGCCCAAAACACTTTAGGCTTCAGTGAGGATTGAACCTATGCCTCCAAGATACTAGTTGGGTCCTTAATGTATCAGAACTGGTCTACCCTACCAAATTTTGGAAATGAGACAATTTTAGAAGCAGGTTCCACTTTTTTTTTTTTTTGCAATTCAATCTCATTGCTTCACTTGTGTATATCAGTTGGTCAATGACCACTACCACTTTATATTTCACATATCATGAACCTGCATACCTGTCATGCCACATTATTCTAATTAGATAAGCTGCCACCTCATCATTCATGGCTAGTATTGCTGACTCAACTGGTAACATGGCTCTTTGCTCGGGTTCAAGTTGTTCAACTGTCTTTAGCCCTAGCAGTAATGGACATTTCTTAACAAGTGTTTTGGTAACATGTAAAAAGCCAAATTCAGCAGCATAGTGCAGCAATGTCTTCTTTGTCTTGTCCTCTTTATCTCTGAAAGTCTGATATCTGTTTTCTGAGTTCAGTTCACTTTCTAACAAAATCTCCAAATATCGATTTACCTACAGAAAGAATTTAAACTTCTTGCAATTACATTTATTAGTTCAAGTAAAAGATGAAATTTTGGAGGGGTTCTCCAGGTTAAGGGTTGTGTTTATAAACTCAACTTTAATTTGGTGAATTAGTCCCAGTTTAGAATGATTAGTCAATAGAGAAATAGGGTAAGGGAGATGCAACAATTTTTTTTAAAAGATAGTTCTTTGATCCGATCAATAGCAAAATCTCTTACTGTCAAATAAGTAAATATACTTTCTAAAAACTAATTTGGAAACTGCTATCTGTTGTATTTTGCGTTACAGCTAGAAATTTTACAGAATACTGCTAATGCAAATTAAAAATGGCGGTAAATTGTTTCATTCATAAAGTAACGCTTACCAGCTGTTCAAGTCCTTTCAGACTATCAGAGTTTTCTTTGTACTTTTTACAGTTTGGCCAATGTTTTAGCATCAATAGGGCTGGATCCTCACTGATCAGCTCTCCATTGTCCTTGTATTTCAGGATCATGAAGTCCACTTGCACTTCATCCATAGCTCTGTTCCATGACAATCCTTCATTCTGCTTCTGATGAACCTATCAACCATCGTATATGGCAGTGGTTTGACATGTTAAAAATGCCCACCATTCAAAGATGGCATACGAATTCATGATGCATGAGTGGGGCACACGAGGTCGCTTGCAAACCTCGCATACAAATTCAGTTGATTTTATGTCAAACGAAACAGAAACAAGATAACCAGCTCTAATAATCGAAAGTGTTCATGGTTAAAAGAAGCGCAGCTAGTTTAAGTACCTTGATCCAGAACTCCGTGTCCAATTTATTTCTGCCGAATACCGGCTCTCCCAGTTTAAACTCAGTGTATTTCTCAGAGGGTTTCATAGAATCTTGCTCTTTATCTCCCATTTCTGAATCATTTGTCACCAGCTGCCGACATCTAAGCCGGTAGTACTTAAGATGTGCACGATATTTTCCCAATGGAAACATCCAACGTTGACTAATTCAAGAGAAGCACCAAAGCAGCTCTGACGAAGAGAATGAAGTACTATTACAACAAAACTCTATTTGGATCTGGTACGTGAAGTCGAGGCCAAGCGCTTCACGAGAAAGGTTTGAAGAGGACTGGGGATCGACAAAATCGTTTTTCTTCAACTTGGCAAAGAACTCCCTCTGCACAACTTAAAATATTTTGTGAAAAGAGAAGCAAAACTGAATCAGTCAATCCAAGAAGAAAAACTTTGCTATTGTCTAAATATCTCGTGTATAAACCTTTATTTATGGGCTTCGGCTTGATTTTCCGTCCTACGTCGAAACATATTCGAAGTGGGCCTCTCTAAGTACCGTCATCTTGACCAGTCGAGTGCGTTTTCTTTAACCCTTTACACCCTAATATCAGTATCCATATTCTCCATACTCTTCACTATACATTTCCCTTAGTGCTGACAAGGAGAATTAGTTTAGTAATCAAAGCTTCTTTGGTTTCATAATCTTACTGAATGATTCAGCTTCATTACAGTTAGGAGAAATTAGATGCTGGTCACTCTCAGGGTTTAAAGGCTTAGAAATAAAAGTATCAAGTCACACTTGGGCAATTGTTCCAGTTTTTTTTTTTTTGGTATCTTTTGGGATGTTTTCCCAAAAATGTGCTAGTGTTACCGGTGTTACGCTCCTCGTGTTCGTTACACAAGAAACACTCCCATAGATTGTGTTAATATATGCTTATTGGGGACACAGAAAAAAAAGAAATTAAACACAATCTTACGTTTTTTTCATACAACAGCATAAAGAGAAGGAATAGCAGAATGCATCCAATCGTTTTTTTCAGTTAAAAATCACCTTTTAGCGAAAGAAAAGCTTTGTTTCCTTGTTCAGACACCGACCATGCTGACCAATTCTAATTTCTGGAAAG